ATAGTTTATAGCAAAGCTATTCAATATCTCATAAAATGTAAATAAAATACTACTGTTCAGACAACTAAAACATACTGGTATAAGTATAGTACATATTTTTAAAAATTCAAATAGAAACAACAAAGGCTATACACTAGTATCTTTCAGAAACTAATAAGAAATAGCCTAGAAAAAAAAGTATACTATTAAATATTATGATACTAAACTTTTTTGAGAAGTCTCTGAAGCTAAATCAAATAAAACATATTATGCTAAAGAAAGATATAAGCAAAGATTTGATACTTATGAGTTAAGTACAAAAGGCTTTAAGAGACAAGAACTATCTTCTAATAGGCTAATCTTTCTCTATAGTTGTAAAAGAAAGTCTTAAAAGAAGAGAATAGGCTAGAAAACAAAAGATATTCGAAGCTAGAAAATTGAGATAAAACCTATGCAGAAAAAAGAAAAAAGAAACAACACAAAGAAAATAAATACAAAGAATCTTTCAATAATATAGCATAATATATTCAAGCTTTGGAAAGAAAATTAAATAGCTTTAATAATAATTGGAGTCTAGAAACTCCAAATCATTTCTGAAATTAGCCAAAGTTGAACTAACAAAGGCTCTAGTCAATTAAGAAAGAAAACTTAAGAGACAGAACAGAGCAAAAACAAGTATAAACCAAAATAAAAATGAATGCAAAGAAAATACAAGAAGAAAAGAAGTTAAATAAGTAAAAGATAGTATTAGTGATAGAAATAGAAAGCAAGAGGTTATAAAAATAAGTATACATAATATTAATAGAATTAAAGTAGATAATATGAAAGTAGAACTGCTAGCAGAGTATAGTAAGTTAGAAAGATATAATATTATTAGAATAATAGAAACTAATATAAGAAAACAAGAAGGCAAGTAGATAAACACAAAAGAATATGAATTCTCAGACTTTTGGATAAAAGCAGAAAAAGGAAAACAAAAAGAGTCAGGAATTAGACTATTAGTCAATTAGAATTAGTTAAGAAATATAGAAGTCTGTAAAAGGTTTAACCTATATTTGCTTAAAGCTAAATTTTTCTTTAGAAGAGTAGTTTTTTAAGTTTGGATAGTATACCTACTATCTAAAAATAAAGAAGTAACGAGAAAAGTATACAAAATACTAATAGAAGAAATTATTAAGAATAGGAAAAATATGGTATATATGATATTAGAAAACTTCAATACAGTATTAAATAAAAGACTAGATATGAGTAGTAAAGGAAGAAGAAATATAGATACTAGGACAAGAATTACAAAATGATTAAAGAATACTAGCCATATAGAAATCTTCTGATTCTCTAACTCAGAACTAATTAAGTATTTATGATCAAATAGAAATATATCAACTAGAATAGACTATATTTAGACAATACAAGATATGAGGAGCTTTATTTTAGATAGTAATATAGAATCAATAGAGACAGTAACAAATAGTGATCATAGAATAGTCTGAGTACAACTAGATAGTGTAGGTATTTTAGAGAAAAACAAGTAAAGAAGTAAGAAGAAATAAAAGAAGATAAGAAATTTATACTAATATCATAAGGCAACAGAAGATGACTAGTATAACTATAGCTAAGAGGTAGAAAAGATTATCAGAAATACAGAAAAAAAAAGAAAAAAAAAAACCAAATAGAAACAGAACCTGAGACAGATATTAATAAAAAATAGAAGCTAATTGCTAAAGCAATATAAGCAGTAGCAAGCAAGTACATTTCTTTAACAAAAACATAAGATTCCAAAAGTTAAATAAAAAAAGAAGCAATGAAATTTCTAATATATAGCAGAGCTAAAGTCTTAGAATGAATATTTAGAAAAGAGTCTAAAGACATAGAACAAAATATAGACAGACTAGAGAGAGCAATTCTTAACATATGAATAGAGTATCTTAATGCAGAATATAAGATGAATATACTACTTCTATTAGAATTCTGGAATAGAGAATTTTGTGTCAAAATTAAAGAGTAGTAGAACATATTAAAAGAAAAAGTATAGAAAGAATTGCAAGTTGTAAAAGAAAAAGAAATAAAAGAAAAAATTGAAAAAAGATTTGTACTAATGTCTAAAAGTAAAAAGCAAATATTAAACAAGCTACTCAAAGTCCTCATAATAAGTTGTAATTAACAGAGTCTTAGTACAAAGTAAGAATAAGTTTGAAAGTAAGAGGCTAATTACAAAAAGTGAAGATATCAAAAGGGAAGTAGAAAGGTATTTTAAAGAACAATTCAGAAAATGAAACTATCAATTCAAGCAATTAGATCACGAATGAGCAAATATCTATAAAGAACAAAAAAGAATCAACAAAGCTTAGTATATAGAAATTATGAACAGAATAACAGAAGAAAAATAGTCAGAAGTTACAAGTATGCTAAAAGAAGATCAGCACCTGGTATCTCAGAAATTAGCTATAGACTCATTAAAAAAGTAAGCCTTAAAACAAAAGAATATTTAGTAAACTTTGCAAACAAAATAGTTTATGAAGAAAAATTTCCCAAGAAATAGAAATTAGAGCAAATATATTTAATTTCTAAGAGTACAGACTAGGAATTTAATTTAGCAAGTACTAGACCAATAATATTACTTAAGACATTTAGAAAACTTGTAATTAGAATTGTTCAAAAAAAATTAAGCAAAGTGTTTATCAAAAAGCAGAACTTTAAAGAAGCAAACTTCACAGAACTGCCTAATAAAAGCACTATAGCACTGATACATATCTTAAATAATATTATTAAAGATGTAATTCAAAAGGATAAGAAGCTATTAATAGCATTTCAAGATATTTGAAAAGCTTTTAATTCAGTTAGCATTTATACTTTAGAGCTCTTTATGAGAAGAATCAAACTTTCAGAAAATCTAAGCAATTATATTAAAACTATAAAATAATGGTAATAACAGATGAAGGCTTAACTGACTTCTTCATAGTTAATAACAGAATAGACTAAAGTGAGTAATCTCTCTACTAATGTAGAAAATATTTTACGATCTATTACTAGTAAGAATATAGCAACTAGGAATAAGGTACTAAATTGAGCTACAGTAGCTAATAGATATTGAAAAGTAGATCTACAAAATAGAAAAAGCTATGATTTTAGCACTGGTATATGTAGATGATACTACATAGGTAGCAAAATTTAAGCTTGTATTGCAAAAAATTATACAAGTATCAAATAGCTTTTTTATACTGAATAATATCGAGATAAACAGAGTAAAATCTGAAGCAATAGCTTGGAGACCTCATAACAAAGAAAAGAAAGAAAAATATATCCAAATTAGAATACTACTAATTTTAGTTAAAGTTAAAGAACTAGAAAAAAGTACAAGTAGTAAAATAATCTGTTCAAAAAAATGCAGCTCAGGTGACTTGACAGATAAACTCATAGGTCACCTGAGTTGATCTACAGTGTTACTTAAGTATATAGGTTACCTGTTTAATCTGAGTTAAAATTATATAACTCCAAAATCTGATGCCTAGCTAATCAGCATCAATTATATAGAACAATTTTAATTATCTTATACTTCTTACTAGTTATCAAATGTTTTGCATATTAGTAATTGTCACTTCTTTTTATAATATAATTTATTACTTGATATAATAAATAATATAATAAATGAAGTAACAATTATCAATATGCAAGACATTTAACTATATTGCTTCTTATATTTTTTATTTTTAGTACACTAACAAAAGTTTTTTTTACGAATTTGATTATAGTTATTAATCAAATACACTCTAATTTAGAAGTACAAGATCTTTAGCTTGAAATTTTACTTATAAAATAATCTTTGTGCTATAAGGCTATACAAAGTTAATTAATTATGTCTCATAATATGTAAATTTAAAAATGACCCACTCACTTAGCTTTTAATATTTTAATTATGAAAATTTTAAAAAATTTATATAATATTTTTTTGATTTTTAAAAAAATCCACTCAAAAATATTTATATCAATAACATAAAATTTTTTCTCAAAAATTTACAAAAGCTGATCTGATTAGATTATAAGAAACAACTAATTAACTTAATTAGTTGTTTCTCATAATCTGATAGATCAGCTTTTGTAAATTTTTGAGAAAAAATTTTATAAGTTATTAATATGAATATTTCTAAGTAGGTTTTTTTAAAAGTCAAAAAAATATTATATATATTTTTTTTTAAAAAAATATATCCAAAAATATTTATATTAATAACTTAAAAATTTTTTCTCGAAAATTTACAAAAGCTAATCTAACCAAATTATAAAAAACAACTAATTAAGTTAATTAGTTGTTTCTAATAATCTGGTTAGATTAGCTTTTGTAAATTTTTGAAAAAAAATTTTATAAGTTATTGAGATGAATATTTCTGAGTAGGTTTTTTTAAAAATCAAAAAAATATTATATATGTTTTTTAAAATTTTTATAATTAAAAAATTAAAAGCTGAGCAAGTAGGTCATTTTTAAATTTATATATAACAAGAAACAATTAATTAACTTTGTATAGCCTATACTAATTTCTATGATAATATTTATAAAGCAAATGTAAGTATAATCGTTACTCAAAAAAATCATATTATTTCATAGAAAAAATTTGTATTGTTAGATTAGTATCATTTTATTAAGTTAGAGTTTGAAGATATGATTTATTACAAAATCTTCTAGTTAATTTTTTTTATTAATGTGCAGAAGACAGTTCATAGACTAAATTTTGAGCTATGAAACTATTGCTATAATAAGATTACCTTTTTAGCAAGTTACTCTTTCTAGACCTATAATAACAGTAAGTCATAATTTTTTTTTAGTTTTAAAAAAATATTTATTTTTACTAGAAATATTACTAAATAATTGCTTTTAAATATATGCATTAATTCCAAATATTACAATATATACTATTTTGTTTAATAAAAAATAATTTATGAACAGTTTCAGACTCTAAACAATTTCTTTTGAAGGTAATATAGTTTTTTCATCAGAAAAAAGATATTTGCTTGGAATAGAAGTAGCAGGGATGGATAAATATTTACATGCTATTCTACTTAGAATGGAAAAGAAATATTGTTTAGTATATTACTATTCATAAATATCAGTATTTAAAGGCTGAATTGATATAATTGATATATTTAGATAATTGTTGATTTCTATTTCTTGATTAATTTGAGTTTAACTTTGACCTAGACTAAAAAAAATTTTGTCTATAAAGGAAGAAGTTAATGAAGAATGTATTATTTTGGAATATTCAACAAATTCTTCAGTTATAGTTATATTCTTCCAAGTTTTAAATTCAGTTTGTAGCTTATCAATTATGTTATTTCATGTTATATTTGACTATGCTCTTATTGCTTTTATCTTAGATCTAACAAAGTAGCAATTAAACTAATATCTTCTAGATCACCTCAATAATAGCAAAAGGAATCATAGATTATTTTTCAGATATTTAAAATTATTTGTTGTGTTAAAAGTGGCTCTTGGGTAGTTTGTTGTTCATCATCAGAGATTTCATCATCATCACTATCAAACAATATTATGTCTAAATTTAAAAAAAAAGGTTTTTAGTTTTAAAAATTTTTATTTGTTATTTTTTTTTTCCTATTTGTTATTTTTATTATATATACCATTATTATTAATGTTTGCTTCAATTTTATCTGAGCTAAATTCAGTACTACTAGTATAATTAAGCTTTAAATATTCAATACTTGTATTAATAACTGAAAGAGTGGCATATTGGACTCCACTAAAGTAAGTTGTTAATCTATCAAATAGCTCAAGTATTTGTATTATTTCTTCTAATAGTTTCTATTCATTTTCTGTAGGAATAAAAGATTTTAATTTATGAGAATCTTTTTTACTATTATCTTCCAGATGTAATGTTGCAGAAAGCCTTTCTATTGCTTTATACAAAACCAAAAACTATTTCTATAATTGGTAAGCAGAGTTCTACTAAGTTTTTACTTTACTAATAGAACATAAAATTTTTAATTCTATTTCCTTAGATAGTTTCAAATTATCATTATTTTCTATTACCTCTCCAGAAAAAATTTTAGGTAAGTTCTCAGGATCGAATAATTGAATAGATGTTATATTAGTCTTATTATGTTGAATATTAATTTACACTTGATCAAGACATTGATATTGTTTCAGAGATTTAAAAAACTTGATAAGTTTGCGAATTCATTTAATATATAATTCAATTTCTTTTAGAGCTCTATTCACTATGAGTTAAAGTATATATGTAGAACAAGAAAGTTATTCTACACTGTTCAAAATTCTAATAGCTTTTTTCATATTTGTATCATTATTAGTTACTATACAAAAAACTTTTTTAGATAATTTAAATTCTTTTATCTTCTTATCTAAATAGCTACTTATTTGTTCATTTGTATAGAGGTAATCCATGAGTTTAACAGCTAGTAGTATATTATACACCTCAAAGTCTGGAGTTAGCTAGTGAAGTATTACTTCAATATATTCTACATTATTACAAGATATTCATAAATTTGTTGTAATAGAAGTAGTTTCACAAGTAGTATCAATTAGATTTTTAAGCTCCAACACCTTCTTTTTATAAGAAGTAACAAGATTTTTTTTAATGTTTTTATAACTAGGTAGTATAAATACTGAATTAATATGATTTATCATATTCCTATACTCTTTACTATAAACAATATTAAATAATAAAAAATCAGTAACTAGTCATTCAATAGTAACTTTTTTAATTTATTTTGCATTATTTCATGATATGGAGTTGCTTTTTTCATTATTTTATCAATGCATAACTGATATTTTTTACTTTGATTTACTTGAGAATCATCATCTGGTAACAAAATTCTATGTTTTATTATTAGATGATACTTCATGTTTCCTGTTCTACTATCATGCTTATAATTGTCTTTATATTCAACTTCTTTACCTTTTTGAAACATTACTATCTTGCAAACATCATGATCACCTTCAATTTGAAAGTAATCTCAAATATAACTTGACTTTTTGATAAGTTTATTAGTAAGTTTAGTAATATTTACTTTGATTTTTTTAGTAGCTAGTTCACCTACAGGTTCTTCTGTATATTCTTTCTCAATAGATATATTAGGAAGTTCTTCAGTTTGAATATCAATATCATCGTAGTTATATTCAATATTACTATCTATAGTTTTTTTTATATTTTATATATGATAATTATTAATTTATATATACTTGAATATTATTATATACTGTTGACCTATGAAATATAAGGAAAAACACAAATTTCTTAATATCTTTCGATCCACCAGTCCGAATTGGATGAAACACATACCATTAGAATCAGCTCACTGAGACGGTTCTAATGAGCCAAGAATCATTGAAATCCAATCACTGGATCCCGAGATAATCAAGATCCGGCTTTTTATCATAATCCGTGCGATCTGATTGGCTGATAATTACTGCGGGAGATTCGTTACATGTAGCATATCTATTACCTATGGTTTTTGAGATACATTTACCATTTATCATATATATATCACATATCATATTTATTATATATTTCATACATGTATTAGTTATATTATATATTTTATTAGTAATAGTTATAGCATATATAGCTCATGTAATATATGTAGCCTGTTACATTTCTAATATTTTGTAAAGTATAAAAGCAGCACATGTAGACCTTGATTTTATTATCAAGTCTTCATACACTTTCACAATAAAAGTACTTTTCTGATACTTTAAAATAAATATTTATTAATATCTTCATATATCTTTAATTATTGCCTCTTTTATAATTGCAAATTACCTTAAATCTTCTTTATTAAGTTTATAAAAACACTCTAAAGACTTTGACAAAATACAGTAATAAGAATATTACACAAAGTATTTTCTGTTATTAGTCTCTCTAGTTAGTTGTTCTCCCTAAAGAAGTAGAAGCAACATAACAATATGTATTTCAACTATAATTTGATTTACTAGTATTTTGAATATTCTAATATGACAATCATAAAAGATTTTCATAATCATTATGTGGAGGTACTTTTAATAATATAATATTAAAGTTAGTTGAAGATTCTTTACAACTAACTTCACAGAACTGATTTTAGAAGCAATATAAGGAAGATAATATGATTCAAAAATTTAGATAAAATAGTACACTTTACAGCTATTGTATGAATCTATACTTTTTGTTTGATTTATTTCAAATATGTTATATTGCACTATCAAGTATAATATATGGTTTGAGTTTTTAGAAGTTAGTATAGCTAGTTGTAATAAATATCTTTATAAAAAAAATTTTTTTATATTCTACTTCATCTAATTATTTTAGTAGACAAATTTGCCTACTAAACTGAATAGTTTAAAGAATATAATATATCTTGAATTAATGTACTAAATTAATTTCTTCTTATTGCTTATTATGAGATCTGAAAAGTAATTTAGGTTGAATCTAGAACAATATACTATATAAAGTAACTACAGGACATGAGAATAATTACTATATAAATTGCATATATTGTATATTTGTTATATATTATATTGTATATATTACTTTTAAGCAATATATTATATATATTATATTTATGCAATATATAGAATAAATATAATATATAGGATAAATAGTATATTTATTATAAATATAATAAATTGTATAAATTTTATATTATAAATAAAGGTTATATTAGCTTATAGAGAAGAAGAACTTAACAACTCTTTTAAGTTCACTTCTAAATAAATAAGTTTTTTATTAAATAACTCTTACAGAGTACTTAAAGAATACTAAATTTATTAATTAATAATCATATAATAAACATATTATAATATTAGTTGTTTTTCAGTATTAAACAAACTAGTTTAAATTAACTTTTACTCTAATTCTAAATTAACTCTAATCTAAACTAAGTAATTGTTATATAATACTGTAATAATCACTGAATTTAGTATTCTTTAATCTTCTTATTCTTATTATCTAATTCATACTTTTTTAATTAACTTACTTCTGATATTTTACTAAGTGATATAATAGAGTTATCTTTACAAAGCTTATAGAATAATTCATAATTATTATACTCTCTTTAAAGTAATAATTAATTTATTTCTTAATAGTAAAAAGATAATCCAAGCTTTATAATATTTACTTGCTAAATCTAACTATATTTTTTAATATAGTTATCTAGTTGCATTAGTTAAAAATTGTAAAAACAGTATTAAATTATTAAATATTCAGTATATCAATTAGCAAATATTCAGCAAATATCTAGTGTTGCTTATCAAAAACAAAATTAGTTTAGTTATAATGACCAAACTATCTGTTTTTATTTAGTAGTAACTATAAGATTGAATAGTAATTTTAATATTCAAAACTAAAAAATAGAATAGTTAATTTGACAACCTACTTATAAAATATAAAATTAAATATTAATAATAGCTAAATTTATAATTAGAAATACAATTTTGAGAAATCTATAAATTATATAATATAGTCTAAACTAGCAAGTTTAATAAATACTATATAAAAAAAGAAGAGATATTTAATAATAATAATAGTAATTATAACTAGTAGAATCTGAAGTCTAATATATTATAACAAAAGTAATAATATTATTAAATTATTTAAAGTACTATAATAATTGTAATTAAATTTAGTAAAGAAGAATAAAAGATTAATAAAGAAGAATTTTTGATTAAATATTTTTATACTAAAGCTATAATATAAGTAAAAAAGAAATATAAGATCTGAAAAGTAGTTAGATTAGATCTATAATAATATACTATATAATATAACTACAAGTTATAAAAATGATCACTATATAAATTATCTAAATTATATAAATTGCATATATTGTATATATATTATATATTATATATTTACTATTTTAAATTATTCAAAATTTTAACAGAAATATCTTTCTAAAAATTCTGTTTTTAATCAAAATTTTATTAGAAGAATTCTTTATTTTTTGAATTAGTACCTCAGATTTGTAAATAACTTTTTAATTATAATCTTATATAGTTTTTATTCTCAGTATAACTTAAACTAACAATCTTATAATTAGTAATCTAAAAATATAACTACTTATTAGAACTGTGATAAGGCATTTGGAGAAACATAACATTATATGAATAAATCTTGAAAAGATCTATAAGCAGAGGATCTGTATGGTAGAAATCTCAAGTTAGTGAGTAGTATAGCTTTCAATAGTCATACTAACTAATACTTAATTCAGAAAAAAAAACTGTTACTCTAAAAATATAGATTGAGAGAGATGCAAGTAAGTCTATTCTATAAGAAGAATTGGCAACACCAACTTAGCTTAGTGATTAACTAGATTAGGAAGATCTACTTTGTAAAATATTTAAAGAGATCAGCAAACAGAAAACTAGTAAAAAGCCACAGTA